CACCACTCTGTGGCCTAAAGCAATCTCCGCCCACAGCTCATCTGATTTGTTAGGAGTCACGAGTCCAACCAATCAATGCGGAATTCACTCATTCCAAAGCGCTTGCTAACTGGAGCTGCTTCAGTGATCACGCATCCGTTGTCTCTCAAAGGTAAGGCAGCAGCAGCAGACGTTGCTTAAGTTGCAATAGATCCCAATCCACTAACGGTACACTGACGTTGCAAAACACCTCAATATTATCTATGATTTCCGCGATGCAGAAAATGTGGACGGAATCGCGGAATCCAGTCATATAAATGGAATGTACTGTAGGACGCGGAATGTCATGGAATTTGTCAAAGTTTGGATGAATTAATCAAAAGTAGGTTAGTACACTTAAATCGACTCGCACTTTGGACTAGTATCTGTAAATATTAAGCCGCAAAAAGACTATTTAAATATGAATCCTGCATGTTCTGCGTGTCTCTGTATATATGAATAGCACATGCGTGATTTTGTATACTACACACATACTGAAGTGCGTGACGCTCGCGGTGTTTTCAGCATCTGCCGACTCACTGAATGAGGACATAAATACATGAACAACATCCCCAGAACTGCTTTGAGAGTTACTTCATGAGCATTTGACCGTTTCATTTGCGTAAAACTATCGTCATATCATATACATAGGCTACAGAAACTTAAAAGGTCCTCATGGCAGCCCGTCAAAATAAAAGTTTGGTTTAGCTACTACTACTACTACTGTCAAGTTATCTAGGGATTCTCAGCCTCAGTCTGCCCAAACCTGAAAAAGGCTTCAATCAACAGTGAAGGGTGCATGGAATAACTCAAAACATCTGATTCTTGATTACTGATGCAATTTATTGAAGATCCTTCAAACAATAACTTGATCTTCTTTGCATAAATTCAGTACTTCATTCAGATCCGTTTAGCTTAATAACCTATACAGGAAACACAAACCATATATAAATATAATTATATATGAGCAAAGACAAACACAGCAGTGAAATAATCAAGTACATTTAAGGATATTGACTACAAACATGCTAGTGTACTCACAAATCACTTATCAAAGAACATATAAACATAGCGATTCAACAGCAACGCTAAATCAAATGCTGTTACTGCACATGGTTAATTAGCACATTAGATGCTAAACCCTTTACAATACAAACATCTTGCATCAACATTGTTCTCATAAACAGACTCTAGATTTCTCTTGCAACTACAGATTTTGTCCTACCAGTAGCGTTTCAAAGTTGATGAACACATTGTGGCTTTTCCCAGGTGTTCTTGAATGAATGAACTCAGCATGCAAATTAATCCAAACTTGATGATTACATCAGTGCAGGTTTACCAATCTTTCTCCATTGGTTTTACAACCAGCAGCACCAGTTTAAAAGGAGCAGTGTATGCACTTCACAAGCGAAGGACCTCCGCACCTGATAATCAGACTCCCCTGCCTCTATCAGACATGAGCATGACATGGCATTGGCCAATCAGCTTGCTCGTTACTTTCATGTTACACTACGTGTTCACAACCAATAGATTTGCTGTTTTTGATCAAGGTTAACATTCATTTTATCAGATAGGCTTTTCCTTACTTTAATAATGATGAATATATATATTTCACTCAATTCCTAACTGAACTCAACAACTACTACTACTACTATTATTACAACTTTTGTTTAAAAGAATAGTCACACAATACGCTATTTCTTCCATGTTTTAATTTTAATAGTAAACCCCTTTGTTTGCCAAAAATAGAGTTTAACTCTCATTTGATTAAAAGATAAATGAAATGAATGTTTTATGCCTTCATTTGCACTGCACTGTAAATTCAATGAAGAATTATGAGAGGTTATGCTATTACACATACATTTCTAACATGTAAATTATTGAAGCCAAATACTTACATTTCCCCAAGCTGTTTAGCTGTAGTACAGTATTCATAGGCTTAATCATGAAGCATACAGTGGCCCCACTTTTAAAGTCGGCATGAAACGGAAGGTGCGATTGTCTTTTAATCTCTACTGTGACGTATATCCGAGTGAAACGACATCTGAAATGAGAGGGCGGGACTTGATCTCGTCCTTCGGGAATTGATTGGATCGTTGGAAGCTGGGGCATTGCAAATAAAATGGAGGCAGATCTGATTGCCAGTTTGCAGTTAGTGGTGGGGGATTTCTCTCCACTGGATTCACAGCCGACACCCAAGCATGAATAAATGTTTTATTTATTAAGGATGACGACGACGATCAACGGCACAGCACGCGCCTGAATGACTGAGCGCGTCATCCATCAGGTTAAGTCATATTCATGAAAAAAATTAG